ATGGCTGGGTGTCGTAAACAGTTGCGTTCGTGCATCTCCTCAATTTCTTTCCAACCTTAGATCACTGAACTTCTCCATTTTCTTTTCGACTCCACTTTCCTTTCTTCTCCTATTCTTCATCCAAATGGGCAGCCAAAAGACAGCAATCAAAACCGGCGCACGAAAGTGCATGGTTAATGGTTGTTCAAACTGAAACTGAAAATTACCTTCGTGATTCTGTCGAATACGAAGTGAAACGTAGTATCACCTGACCACATGCTTTCATCACGTCCAACCTATGCGTATATTCCTTACCGTACTGTTTGTGCAGTCGCGGTCTACTGTCTAAGTCCATTAACCCACTTCATCCTCACCTCCGCTTCGATGCTCCAGTGCCTCACCTCCATCGGATGATACGGCCACATTCGTCCAACAGCTTGCACTAATCCAATCCGACAAGTGTCTACAGGCTTTACGCTGCTTAGCCTATTCCGGTCACGATACGGCGCGTTCTGGACCGGATCCAAGTGGATCGCATACGCATTCGTCTTTGTGTCGGCTCACTGCAGTGCATCGGGCCAATGTGCGCATGTGTCGAACTGCAGTGACCATGGTGCGCCGCGTCGCTCTAGCCCCAGTACGCCGTCTCCTAGATCAAGTGCCTCAATTGTCCATTTGGTCTGCCGTGCCGAGTAGCGGAGAATGCACATTACCAAATTTGGCTTATCTGCCTCAGGATTATATGACTCAGGTACGCTTCTGAATTGTTTACTGTTCTTCCATTACATCACTACTGGGGATGGAAGTTTCTACATTTTCATTCGTTTCATCGATGGAGATAAATGATTAAATATGTCCAGCTAGGTGGGAAGCGAACCAAAATCCCTTAATCGTCACTGTCAGCCGAACTCCTGAATTCCCTCATTGAATCTTACACAGGTGAGTCATTTTAGGAAGAAAACTATTACTTTTTTATCTACATCATCGTCTATGCTTTGACTGTATTTGTATTACAGTGTTCTGAACGTTCGATCGACTTATTTTCGTCCCCAATTCAACAGAGGGATTTATATAATTGGATTAAGAATAGTTTGTGATTTTACTAGCTTTTTCACCAGGCTGTTTCATTTAGCGAAAACACGGAACTAACCGCGGAACGCATGTTGAACTCACTACCCTACATGTTCAGACTGGGTATGCTATATTGACCATCCCTTACAAGAATAAATCATACATGCTGTTTACGTGAGGCTTTGTTGACACTGAATGTTTATTAACTTAATATTACCCATAATTGTTGGAAGAATAATCATCCAAGTGTATGACTAGAGTGTTATCAACCTGGATTAGCCATGAAAGGCATATGTAAGCCTGAGAGTAAAGCAGTAGTACAGAAAACGTCAGATTCACGATTCCTGGAGTCCGATACTATACTACTCATCGGTGACTGGGACACCCTATCGGTTAATGACTATTAGTGTATTATATGAGTGTCATTGCGAGTCACTGAAACCAATGTCATTCGTCTCTGTTTTTATTCCGCTTCTTGGCTACCTTAACGACATTAATCCCCTTTTGTACGACTAGTGTCACTTTCCGTACTGGACTATTTCAATTTGTTAGGGAGTGGTCAAAACCAATTTTAGATTAGAAGACAGTGATGTCATATTATTGCATCGAAGAAACAACAGGGCTGTGGCTAAACCGTGCTGCTCTCTTTTATACCTTCTCCCTCCCCTCGCTCACTCCAGATAGGTCAATACTTGTTAGCTCTCCCGGAGTCATTTGAACCCTATATGGGTACAAACGGTCCCCCAACTGATTCCAATGGTTTGACTCTAGACCCTCACGAGGATCTTTTGACCAGTCGTGGCCTAGCTGAATGCTTACGACTTGGTGATTCAGAGTCAGTTGCAGTCAGCTTGAGCAGTCGATTGCCGGAACAGACAGACCCGGATCAAGGAGGACGGGGCTCGACACAACGTAAACGGTACACCAGTCTCGGACAGATGTCCGGAGCTCGCGAATCAGCCGAAAACCCCCATTCTGATGCTGCTTTGTGCTGGTTGGAAACGCTTATTTCAGGAGTCGCTTGTGATATGTTGGTTGGTGCCGTGTTAAAAATCGGCTCACGTACATCCGAGTCCGGACGATCGGACGTAGACGACTCGGAAGATGTTGCATTGCTCACGGAACATGGTGCAAAACAACTGCAAGTAGATCTAGGTAGGATTTATACTATTCACTATTCCACTAGAATTGGTCATTACTGTTATGTATATGTATTTCATGCGAAAAGGTTTCTTAACGCGTTTTTGAATTTGGCCGTGCCTTGTTATCGTGGAATATTATTTTCGTAAAGTTATAGTGGAGGAACGCGTTAACATCACTTTTGAATCAACTCCCTATATTCTCAAGGTCAAATGTTGTCCTCCAACGCCGTATTTTTGAAATCCTTGCAGTTTATCGCGCAGAAACATCAGTTTCTGATTTTTGCCCATACTGTGAGAAATCGATTCAAACGACTACAACAATCTGTTCAAGGACACCATAAAAAAACACCGTGCTGGCTGACGTGTGGCGCTTAGGCGTCGTTCTGTTGATAATTTGATCGTTCCATCTATTATCTCAAGTAACGTTCGTTCGCTCACGGGAAAACTCGATGATGTCAAGAGCAATGATATACCAGAAGGAATGCAAGAATGTAGGGGCAGTTCTACTCCAGGAAAGCTGGTTACATCCTGACATTGAGGACAACGTCGTGCATCTTGATGGATTTGACATATTCCGAGTCGATTGTAATATGAGCTTCCCTCATAGAGGTGGTGAAGTGGTCACTTTCATCAACAGAAAATGGTGTAAGAACGCTCTTAAATGTTTTCAATTTAATACTCCCAAGATAAATTGTATTTTTGTTTATTGTAAGCCCTGATTTATTAGTCACTTTCATCATATTACATTAGCGAACATTTACATCGCTCCTGACACGCCTGCCTCTGATATTCGTCTGTCTGTCGACTCCTTCTCTTCACAACTTGTAACCGGTTTAGACCAGTCTTTATGCATTGCTGCTGGTGATTTTAATCGTTTTAATATCTCTTTCCTCACAACTTTAGGCTTGACGAATCTTGTAAATTTTCCTATCCGGCTTGGTGTCCAACTTGACGGGATTTTTGTAAACAGCCCCGAAATCTTTTTCATTGAGAAGCGGGCTCCCATAGGCAGCTCCGATCATTGCTCTATTTTTTTGCACCCTAAGGTTTACGGTAAATATTTTCATCACCATATGAACCGTTCCACATCGAGAACCATCCGAAGGAGAAGTCGTACTCCTGAAAACTTATCCAAACTTAGAGATA